GAATAGAATAGAAGGAGTAGTAGTAGGAGTTGTAGTAGTGGTGGTAGTAGTAGTAGTAGTAGCAGTAGTAGTAGTGGTAGTAGTAGTAGTAGTGGTAGTGGTAGTGGTAGTGGTAGTGGTAGTGGTAGTAGTTGTAGTTGTAGTAGTGGTTGTAGTAGGAGCAGGAGCAGCAGCAGCAGCCGTCGTCATCGTCGTCGTGGTCGTCGTCACTGTCGCCGTCGCTATCGCGGTTGTGCTTGTGGTCTTGGGAAGCAATAGCCGCAGCAGCTGCAGTAGAAGAAGCAGTTCAGTACTCACAGGAACATGTATAGCCTTTGTCAATGTAACGATTTTCATGCTGAAGGATATGAGAGATAAAGGCACTGAGAACGACCGCCACCATGACACTGGTTGGCAGACGCACGAAATAGAGAAAGGCAGAGAGGTTCCAATGAAAGCACCCGCGCTATCAAGGGCTCCCACTCAATCCGCTTTGCAATTGACGCCTGCCGCGACGAAGGGAGAGAGAAGTCGGGGATTAGAGCTTAGAGCAGGTTGGATTCGCGGTGGAGGAGTCCTGGGTTCATTGTTTCGTGTCTTAGGGTAGTTGATAGAGGTTCGAGGTCTGAGGTTGCGGTTTCAGGGTGGCGGGGTTCTGATCAGGGATTCTTAGGTGTTCAGCAATTAGTCTTCCGCAGTTTGGACACGGCTTAGTCGGATTTCGTGCTTAAGTCTCGGATGCAGTTTACCGTCAAGCTTGGAGTTTAAAGTTTCAAGATCTAGAGATTCGGGCTTCAAGAATCTTGGTGTGGTGCTCTGCCCCGCGGCTCCAGTTACCCGAATAATGGGTTACTGGGCTACATAGTATATCTATAACCCTAAACCCTAAGCCCCTAAACCCCAAAAGTAACCTACTTCTTGATCCCATATTCTATGCTTGGTAGCCTACTACTCAAGTAACGGGAGCCCTGGGGCTGGCAAGAGTGCAGCTGAGCGCTTGGAAGTCGAGAGGGCAAGCTGGCAAGCTCAGGGCAGAACGCTTCTTTGATGCGAGGGTGGGAAGGGGAGGGGTTGGGGGATTTGGGGTTTAGGGCTGAGGGTTTAGGGTTTGGGATTTAGGGGTTTAGGGTGTAGGGGGCTAGGGCTAGGGTGTGGGGGTTAGGGTTGAGGCCTGGGCGACCTCTACTTGTGTGAGGCACCATGTACAAGCTCGAGATATTTCTTGCTGGGTGGATCAGACTTACAAGCCAGAAAGACACGATTGCCAAAGGATCACTTCAATATGTCCGTTTCTGTTTTGGCACTCCCGGAGGCGATATTCGCAAGATGTTGTCCGAAATTGCATAAGCCCTAAGCCGTAGGTCCACCCTAAACACCTCAACAATGCAAACCAAACCTGAGAAGCCAGAAGTGCTTCAGTCCTACCTATCCGTATATCTCTCTGTCTGTCCATCTATGTACGCTCGTCTAATCTAAGCATCAGTTTAAGATCCACGCAGCCATACATGTTTCTATACATCCACACCCACATACAAGACAAACGCGTGCTAGCTTCAGTCTCTATACAGTACATGCATGTACGCATACGTGTACGAGCTACACCTAGGATTGTTAGATGAGATTACATTAAACTTGTTAAGATAAACGGATAGACCCTGAGCCCTAAAACCCTCAACCCTAAATAGCCCTGAAATCCTAAAACCCCAAACCCCTAAGCCCTAAGCCCTAAAACTCTCCACCCTAGAGCCCTGAAATCTGAAAACCCTAAACCCTAAACCCTCAACCCTAAAGCCCTGAAATCCTAAAACCCTAAACCCTCAACCCTAAGGCCCTGAAATCCTAAAACCCCACACCCTAAACCCTAAAGCCCCGATATCCTAAAACCCTAAAGCCCTGAAATCCTAAAACCCCAAAGCCTGTACCCATGGGCCATCCCATCCTGGTCTGAAGGGCCTCCCATGCCGATAGCTCTGATTCAACATCGACTTCGCGATCCTTCGTCGTACTTGCAGGAATGGCGTTTGACGGCTTTGGGCTTAGGGTTCATAGGGGGGTTCGGGGTTTAGGGTTTAGGGGCGTAGGGGTTGAGGGTTTAGGGGTGTAGCCCCTAAACCCTACATCCTAAACCCCTAAGGGTTTTGTTAGGGTAGGGGAATCCTCCCCTCGGATGATGATGGGACTCAGGGCTCTATCTAAGGGTTCCTCTTAGGTTCCTAAGGGTCCCTATGGCGACTTCGTAGGGTTTAGGGCTTTGGGTTTAGGGTTTAGGGTTTAGGGTTTAGGGTTAAGAGTTGTTAGGCAATGTTAGAGGTTTAGGGGTGTTCGGGCTCCCAAGTTTACGGATTTGGTGTTCAGGGGTTCGGATGCAAAAAGGTACTACCAATGCTCAACCAGTATCCCGACATTGAGGCCTTAGCAAATCCGCAGTATCGACCCAGCATGACATGAGCAGTACAGTCCCTAAACCGTGAACGCGGCAATCTCCCGCATCCTGAAGCCTTGAATCCATAATCTCCTGCGCAAAAGCCTGAAGCTTGCGGCAAACACCGAAGAGCCGAAATCGCCTGGTGCGAGGATTCCCTCTTGTTTACTCGATGGCATCTGGAGCCTATTGGTCGATGTTCTTGACCTCTACCCGTTTCGGGCATCCCTATCAGGATGCAAACGTAAAATATTATGAATCATGAGAACCGCTACTAGGAGCAGCAGCAGTAGCAGTCTTGCTGATACCAAGCACCAGAGAGAAATAGCAGTAGTCGTGACAAATGTGATAATCGGTCAGTCTCTCACCTTAATTTTGGTTTAGGGTCCCCAGTTGAAGTCGCAGATACCCATGATCAGTGTTGCTGCTACATAGAACTGGCTTGCGGGCACTTGGTACCTAAACCCTTGGAGTATGGGCTTAGGGTTCTCACCTCCGACACACGGAGACCGGAACTATTGCTGTTAGGGCTTTTAGGGCTGAGGGATTTGGGGTTTAGGGTTGTTGATTTGTGGATGTGCTTTAACCCAAAGTTCGTTGTTGAAGGATCCCATTTGCAAACGCCTACTCTGTCCCGTCAGTACTGCAGCCCTTTAGTGTCTGAAGCTCCTTCTTAGCTGCGGCGCTTTTGGAGGGGGGGGCTCGGGGCTTGAGGCTAGACGTCGATTTATAAAGTGTACCTAGACCCTCGATCTACCCTCTCTTCAACCCTAAAATACACAGTATGTTGGGACCCAAGATCCTAATTTGAGGTAAGAGGTCGACTTTAAAAAAAATCTGCAGGGCTCCCTCCCCGCCTCCGGTTCCTCCACGTCCTCACCAAGCCCTCTGCACCCCTGAGGCTCCTACAACTCCAAGGTTACTTTTGGGGTCCATGGGGCTTCTCCTTAAGGAATGAACGGGGTTTCAAAGGTTGCACGGGTTTTGTAGGGGTTTCTACGGTTTATTGGGCTTTATAGGGGCTTTCTAAGGCTTCGGGCGTTTAGGGTTACTTTAGCCCCCTGAGCCCAGAATGCAAAGGCAATTTCCCACCGAATCCTTGGGGGCTCTGTAGCTGCCAAGAACGACCCACGTGAAATCCCCAGCTCTGAGCGCGTTCAAGTATATAAAACATCAAACACCTCAACTCCACACGTCACAAAACACCAACCCCCCCACCCAACATCGCACCACGAAAAGTCTTTATATTATATATATATATACACATACATATACATATACATATACATATACATATACATATACATATACATATACATATACATATATATATATATACACCACAAACACTCCCAGCCTGGTTGTTAGATGCCCTCGCAAACTGAACACCCTACATACTTACAGACAGCCCTATACACCTCGCAAGCCCCAATATTGGGATCGAGGTACTCAGCGTTAGTATCCCCTGATTTTCTGATCGTCCCTACGTATTCGATGTGTAGTGTAACAACCGCTCCCCGCCATCCCCCACCAATGTAAGGCCCCTAAACCCCTAAACCGACCCCTCCAAACCCCAAGCCCTCAACCCCAAACCCTCAAAGACTTGAAGCGGGCCCCAAACTCCAAACACTAAATAATTAAGCCTAAAGTGTCCTAAACCCCTAAAAGGGCCCTAAACCCAAACCCCAAAAGACCTTGAAGGGCTCGCCACAAAAACCCTGCAAGGCTCTTGTCGAGTCGACTGCAGCTCCGCTTTCAGTGGAGCCGTCGGCCTCGGATCTCGCTCGGATCTTTGGGTGGGGTTCGGGTTCAGGGTTTAGGGTGCTGTTGGGTTTGGGTCCGGAGTTTTGTAGGGTTTTGGCCGGGTTTTGGCAGTTCAACGTACCTTCCCACGACTTTGACACCGGATGCGTTTCTAGAACTAGTGGAGGTGTCCTGTGGGTCATCGCAGATTAAATGGACGATCAGGACCGCAGCCCTTAACTTGAAGAACACACACTTTTGAAATCTGATTATGCCTTTAAACAAGTGCTAGTAAATATCATTACACCCAAAGCTAGTTTCCCAAGCTTCAGCGCCTGGCTGTGTGCTTTTGTTGCCCTATAGTTGCCAGAAGCCGTGCACCCCAACACATCTTGGAGCTCACACCTCTGAAAGACCTTATAATAATTAGAATAGTGTTTTGGGGGTATATTTTACGATGTAATTGCAATGAGGAGCCCCCAAACAAGAATTGGTAATTATTTGGGCCCCTACATTAGGCCCTCATTAACCACCGAGGTTCGGATAAGTCTCCGCCCGCCCAGCGTCTCCAGAGGCCTCTCAGCACAGAGAGCACGGAATACAAATGGTGGTTTCAGCAAATGAAGGACCATAAAGCCCAGACCCTATACATGCAGGATTGTTGTAACCTTCTAGCTGTTTCAGGTATTTGGGGCCCTACATGATAAGATCCTTATCCCGAAGCCTTATATACACTCCTAGACCCTGTGCCCTAAAGGACCCCAGTGCCCTGGATCAGGCACTCGTATTTTCACCGTCTCGATACATATCCTACGAAGCTTCATTCCATTCCGAGATCACCCCCCCCTAGGATGTAGAATGTGATTCGGGTTTCGGGTCTTCGGGTCTTGCGTTGGTTCAGGGCTTTAGGGTTTGGGGTTGTGTATTTTAGGGTTACGAAAACATCATCAAGCCGGCAAACAAAGAGAGAAGCAGGTTCGTACTGGAAGTGAGGGCACGAGAACGGTAACTTGGTCTAAACGTAATTTTATTTGTCGACAGACCGAAAACACCTCTCTGCCTCATTCCATGCGGCCATCTCCCTGACTTCGATGATGCACGCAAAACGTAATGTAGGTGCCGAAATAATTACCAATACTATCTTTCAGACAGGACGCTGTGCCTTATTGTAATATATAATGGGCCCAAAAACCCTGTTCTAATTATTAAGGCCCCTATATTATCCAAGGAACCTTTCATGATCTGCTCGTAATGGTCGTACACCGTGATGAAGAGACGTCTTGGGATTTAGGTTTCTTGGGTAAGTTGTTCACAAAAACTTTGGCCACACTGAACCCGACACACTGCCTGAAGGCGCGAGAGAAGTGCGTCCATTCGCTGCTTCCATTGCGAGTCAGATGCGTCCATTTTGCTAGAACTGAGGAGGAAAGCTTGTTAGTATAGGGCTTAGGGACATTAGGGTTGAGGGTCGTGCAGTGATCAGACCGAAAGGATTCCAGGCGTAATTGCGATCTCCGAATTGAAACCCTAAACTCTAAACCTAAAGAGTGTCTTCGGGCAGGAGTGGCTCAGTGCAATGCAGCTACTCAACGTGGAGAAGGTGGAAGTTAGATTTGCGCTGCCACTGCACCTTGCCTAAATACACGTAAAAGAATACAGAAGCAAATATAGCAACATGCCCGTAGTACAGCGGCCTTCATGAGTAGGGTTGGGCTTTGGGGTATATCATATATAGTATGAGCATGCAATATACGGACTATCAGGGGTTAAACTGCAAACTATAATGAGATAACGCTTCTTTGAGCAGACTGCGCGAAGTCGAGACGAGAGGCTTGCAACGGTGCCTACCCGTTTCGGGCCTTCCTGCTCTCATTGCGGCTTCTGCGCCAGCAAAACAAGCTGGATCAATCCCTAAAGTTTCTTCTGCCGTTTTGGCTTTCACTTAGTAACTAGTACTATAAGCCTTAAAGTACACGTATAGGAGCCCGTTGTGAACATTATGTATATATATATATATATATATGTTATGTATAATATATATATATATACACATCGATAGGCACATGGAACTTTACAGGTTCACGCTTCAACCAAGCCTCGAAACAGCGGACCCGCTGCAATACGAACACGCCCTAGAAAAAACCCTGACCTAACGGCTGCGCGAAGAAAGAGCCTGTCACTGTCGCAATCATCAGCGGACATACTGACGCAGGCACCGACGCACAAGAACACGGGAGAGAATGAAACCAGAAACTGAGCGACAAGCAAATTTGAAAAACAAGCAGGAAGGCCGCCAAGCGCCTGCATGACAAGGGCCGTCTTCTGTCTGTCTTCGCCTAGTGCAATGCCTTCTGATCTTGCTTGCTTCTCGGACTCTCCGCTTCTGTTCTTTGCCGTCCTTGCCACCCTACATACTAAGCCTGCTAAGCTGGCTGTGCTTGAGTGTGCCGATGTCTGCTTGCAAGGTTTTCTTCTCGTCCTTCAACAGTGGGAGGTAAGAGACCAATACTGGCTAACGAAGCCACTGCCGAAAACACCCCGCAGTGGCCCGAAAGCCAATCTTGCTGTTGCTGCACCCGTTCCTGATAGCCCTACCGCGCAGAAGTACATGACAGGCACTCTGACCCTGAAATGGTCCCGGAGTCGATCTTATCCACAAAAGGCTTGGGTGAAGGCGGCGAACTTCACGAGTTCGGGCTGACTGGAGACCAGACCGGGTTCCCGTCCATGTCACCGGAAGCTACGCACCCGCACGCAGTACCTACACCTGCCATGCTTCTCATCAGTCGTTGTTGTCAAGTAACCGTCCGCCAACTCCCAGCTCATCGTCCCTTCGGAACTTAACGCGATGCAGTCTTCCTCGAAGGGGCCTGCACAGTTCAGACCTTCAGCCCAAAAGCCTTAGGTAAACTGAAACCCCTGGTGCTGGGGTCCCGTAACTATCAGCTCACCGGTTCATCCTAGAGTCGGACAGGTTTTCCTGGCAGCACTGAATTCCGGGGTTGAAAACTGAGCTGGCAGCCAAATCTTGCAGCAAGGCCTAATTACTTTTTACGTTTGGAATCTTCTGATCACTTTAGCTCAACTTTCGGTTCGGGTTCCGTTACCTTCACTTTAGGGGGGGGGGGGTTCTATTGTCTTGCGATCCTTGGCTCCGTCCCGTGACGCCCGCGCGGTTATTTTGGGGCCTTAAGAATTAGAAGAGGGTTCTGGGGGCTGTTATACTAAAGTTATAAAAAGGAGCCCCCCAAAATAGTTTAGATAGTTATTAAGGCCCCGTTAGTAGTGGCTTCCTGTGTACCCTGAACTGTCTGCTAAGTCTCTGGGAGTGGGGGCGCCGACACCCTGAAGGCTGAACTTTTCCTGAACCTGTCTGTGGTTTAGGGGTTTAGGGGTTTAGGGTCTAGCTTTCACATGAAACCTATAAACCCTAAACCTTGGAAGACGGCATCCTAGGCCCTTAATTAAATTTGGCTTAAGCCTAAACTTAAACCTAAGCCACGTCCCTCTGGCGCATAATCCTTCATCTCATTCCTTACAGAACATCCTAAGTACCCAAGCCCTGAACTCTAAAACCTTCCTTAACACTTCAGGACCCATATCCATATTGCAGGGTTTAGAATAGGAACTTACACAATTGTAGGTTATTGTGTAAATCAACATCCTGAAACCTGAACTTCCTACGTGCCCTAAACTGTTAAAGGATGCGCCTCGGAGTCGCCTGTTTGCTTGGAGGTTTGGGTCTCGGGGTCTGGGTTTTGGGGTGGGTTCCGGGTTCTGGGTTCGGTGGAGCCTTTACGGTTTAGGTTTAGGGTTTAGGGTTTAGGGTTTAGGGTTTAGGGTTTAGGGTTTATAGGGTTTATAGGGTTTAAGGTTTAGGGTTTAGGGTTTAGGGTTTAGGGTTTAGGAGCATACGATGGGCTTTCTGAGCCAGCGCCGTTCTTACTGCGCACTTGTCGCAAGCTGCCCAAGCCCAAATTCCCGCAGACTCGTCGAAAGAAGAGCCAGTTACAAACAGTCTTGAATTACAAGCACTAGAGTCTCTCAGGGTAACCGTATATAGCGGGTGTGGGCCGCTTTGCTAGATTTAGAGGCCTAGCTAGACCAAGTGCTGCAACAGCCCGGAAAAGCAGGTGAGACGGTCGTGCAACCT